CCGGGCAAGAGAGTGAGGCTCTATCTCAAAAAAAAAAAAAAGAAAAATTCATTTGAGCTGTCTTTTCAACTCTGAGTTACTTTTCAAACTAGTTCCACATCTTATCAATACAAACTTTGAAATGGGCCATGACAAAAAAGGCAATTAAACAGGGTATTATAAGAAGTGATGAAATGAGAGTATTTTCCTTGACTTGCTAATGGTGAAAGTAGTAAGACAGGAGTTTTCTTTTGACAACCTTCCATAAAAGAAAAATTAATGACAAAGCATAGTATGTAATACCATAACATACAAACCTGTCTTTGACAGTATGATTCTTTGAGTTTCTTGAGATGTGTTGTCATTTTCACTTTGAAGTGAATCTCACTGCTATCCTAAGGAGATAAAAGAAAAAAAATATCCCTCTTTGTATAAATTATTTGCTTTGCTTGAACCAAATTATTTAATTACATATATGGTACAAATAGAAATATAAACCTTGTCACCTATATTTTTCCACCAAAATATTCTTTTTAGCATTCCTAACAGGTTTTATTAAAACACACTAGTCATCCTCAAATGCTTTATACTCATTACAAAGGAAATAAACAAAGAAAATCTGTCTTACATGTTAAAATGATCAGTATAAGTATGTATGTCAAAGAATGCATTCCTTCATTACTGCATGGCCACTGTGTTGTCAAAATAAAAGATTCCATTTATATGACATGTTCAGAATAGATAAATTCATAGAGATAGAATGTAGAAGAGTGGCTCTGGGTTCTGGATGTCTTTTTGGTGTGATGAAAATGTCCTAGAATTAGACAGTGGTGATCACTGCACAGCTCTGTGAATACTAAAGCCACTGAATTATATACTTTAAAATGGTAAATTTTGTACAATGTGAATTATATCTTAACAAAAAAAAATTTAAATTAAGATAATCACAGAAAGATGGGAAAAGGATATGAACACATAATTAATAGAGGAATATAAATGTAGCAGACAACAAATTATACCTTATTGATAATCAGGTAAATGCAAAATAAACAAAAATGTTTTACCTATCATACTAGAACAAAATTTAAAGACTGTTAATATCCCATGTTGGGGAGAATTGGGGGAAATGGTACTCTCACACTTGGATGGTGAGAGTCCACCATTCCACCAATTGTCTTTTATCCTTAAAACAAACACACCCATGTAACTATGAAGATTCATTCCTCTAACAGTTTTCAGATCTTAATTAACATCTCAGAAAGAATCAATAATATACAGACTAGAGTCCAGGGAAATGAGGGGCCAGGAAACAGGATCAGGAAAAGGGCTGATAGGCCCTTACTTAAGGTTGGCCTTAGCTTAACAATTACCTGTAGTATTTACTGTATTTGCCCCTGAAGCATGCTAACTAAGAAAAAGTTTCTATTTGGAGAAATTAAGGTGACATAAAACTGCCTAGCTCAGTAATTAAGAAAATAGAATCAACCTCTTCTACTTCCAACAGATGTACATAGTAAATGAAAATGTCATTTTAAAATAATTTACCTTACTTAAATCATAATTTTTCCTGTGTGTGAGAAATTATTCACACATTGGAAGAGTGTCAAAGGAGAAAAACAATGAAACTCACCTGTCCAATGACTTTGAGTTTAATGTATTCTCCTTCCTTCTTATCCCCCAAGTCCTCAGTTGAAGGTTTTGCCTCCTGAAAGAAAAGTAAGTTTCAAGAAAAAAGTTCCTCATGACTATCCACTACCTTCATGCAGGGTATAAAATCTGCACCTGAGAATACGAAGAGCATTTATTTTCTCTGCCAGTCTATTAAGCAAAAAAGGTCCTAAGTCAATTACTGTCCCAAACAGTAATTGGTGTACACTAGAAATCAATAAAAGAGACTTTTTTATTATAATATCCCACTGTAACAGTCTAAAACTTTACCATGCATGACAATCACCTGAAGCACTTGTTAAACAAACTGCTGGGCCCTAGCCCCATTTTATTCAGGAGGTCTAGTGTGGGACTGAGAATTTGTCTCTAACAAGTTACCAGGGAATGATGATAGTGCGTGGTTAGAGAAACAACTTGGAAACCACTGCCCTACAATCAATTCTTACCAGCCAGAAGGAGTTCATCCTCTATGAATACTTAGCCTAATATTCTGAATCCAAGATTATCTTCTCACAGCCCATCAGGAGGCGTTTATTCCAACCACAAAATTGCACTAAGAAATGTAAATTAATCATATTTGCAAAAACAAAGGCTACTTAGGAAGAAAATCACGTAGGAAAGTATTGGCCTAATGTGCTCTGGAGTTAAAACAAATCAGTTTTATATTATCTATTATTTTAGACTGTCTGAAGCATTTTATCTAAGTTCAGAACACTTGGCTGAAAAAAAAAAAAATAAGAGGGCC